TTTCATAATGCCCATGTTGAGGGTTAGGCCCCCAAAAAAAAAAAATGTAAATTCGGAAACACGTAATGAGTTTCCATGCAACTGGTCTGACAAGGTTTGTATCTGGATTGACGGCGATAAATTGTTGTGCATATAAATTGCTTTGATCCACAATCAAACGCATACAGATATCCCAGATATCCCGTGAAAAACAGCTCCAAAAATCAAGTGGAGGAGTTAGATTTGCTGTTTCCACCTGAATTCCAAGTTGGGCAGCAGTGAATGGGGGAAGTACTGGTGCTGATTTTGCGAACACTATGGTTGTGTGTAATGTATCAAGTGACAGTAACCTACTGACACTGCACTTGCTGGGGGGAGGGGGGGGGTAAGCGTAGGGGCTAAATGCAGGTGTTGGCAGGTGCCGGGGCTGAGTTTTTGGGGACGCTATACTAATGTGAACGCTGGTATAGTGCTGATCTGATCAAAGATATTGATCCGTTCAGACACTATACTAGCAATGGAGGTTTATTGTGTATGAGCATGTTCCTGGCCAGGGGCGGACTGACAACTCATGGGGCCCCCGGGCAATAGGGGATCATGGGGGCCCCCTGTGTCCTTGCCCAAACTCAAAAAAGCCTATGAAAAAGGTACCAGGGGCATCTCACGGGGCCCCCTACTGACCCCAGGCCCTCGGGCAGTGCCCGAGTTTCCGAATGGTCAGTCCACTCCTGTTTCTTGCAATCAAGGGGTTAAATGTGATTACTGGTGTACTGATGGGCAATTTGACGCTATCTGGGAGGGGCGTGAAAACCACGGGAGCGCGAATCACGTATATATACGTGATTTTGCGTATCTGTGCCACCCTGTAGCAGTATTTCCGCTATAGGGCGGTCAGGAAGCGGTTACAGAAGCGGTGTGTGCTATATGGTGCTGCGTTACTTTGACAATTGCCGCGGTCATGAAACGCAGCACCCAAATGAAATTTACGTCCTTTTTTCCCCACAAATTGAGCTTTCTTTCAGTTGTATTTGATTGCCTGTGCGTTTTTTTTATTTTGTGCGCTATAAAAGAAAAAAGGCCAACACTTTTGAGAAAAAAAAGCTATATTTTGGACTTTTTGCTATTTAACATATCCAGTAAAAAAAATAAAAAATCTAATTTCATCATAAATTTAGGCCAAAATGTATTCTGCTCCATGTCTTTGCTAAACAAATATCCCAATACTTGTAAATTAATTGTTTTACGTGAAAGTTATAGCGTTTACAAATGGCGGTATATATACTGGGATTTTTTTTATACTAATAATGGCAGCGACCAGTGACTTATAGAGGTACTGTGAGAATGCAGTGGGCATTCTGACACTGGGGAGGGGGGGGGGGGGGAACTGACTTGGTGTCACTGACATCCCCAGTGATACAATACAGTAATCAGTGCAAAAAAAAGCATTGACACTGTACTAATGGCACTGTGCAGGAATAGGTTAACATTTGGGAGCAATCAAAGGGTTAACTGTGTGATGGGAGTCTTTCTCTGATCAGTGTGCCCAAACAATGCAGCCCTCCTCCCTGTCTGTGTCTGTAGTCACCGAGCTCTAGTGGGTAATCATGCGCCCCCCTACCCGAAAATGCAAAACCACTTACAGTCATGGCCGAAATTGTTGGCACCCTTGATATTTCTCCAGGAAATCATGTATTTCTCACGAAACGTATTGCATTAACACATGTTTTGCTATACACATGTTTATTCCCTTTGTGTGTATTGGGACAAAACAAAAAAAAAGGGAGGAAAGAAAGCAAATTCGACATAATGTCACACAAACCTCCAAAAATGGGCTGGACAAAAGTATTGGCACCCTTTCACAACTGCGGATAAATAAGAATGTTACAAGCATGTGATGCTCCTGTAAACTCACCTGGGGCAAGTAACAGGTGTGGGCAATATAGAAATCACACCTGAAAGCAGATAAAAAGGAGAGACGTTCACTTAACCTTTGCATTGTGTGTCTGTCTGTGCCACACTAAGCATGGACAACAGAAAGAGGAGACGAGAACTGTCTGAGGACCTGAGAACCAAAATTGTGGCAAAATATCAACAATCTCAAGGTTACAAGTCCATCTCCAGAGAACTAGATTTGCCTTTGTCCACAGTGCGCAACATTATCAAGAAGTTTGCAACCCATGGCACTGTAGCTAATCTCCCTGGTCGTGGACGGATGAGGAAAATTGATGAAAGATTGCAACGCAGAATAGTCCGGATGGTGGATAAGCAGCCCCAAAACATGTTCCAAAGACATTCAAGCTGTCCTGCAGGCTCAGGGAGCATCAGTGTCAGCGCGAACTATCCGTCGACATTTAAATGAAATGAAACGCTATGGCAGGAGACCCAGGAGGACCCCACTGCTGACACAGAGACATAAAAAAGCAAGACTACAGTTTGCCAAAATGTACTTGAGTAAGCCAAAAGCCTTCTGGGAAAACGTCTTGTGGACAGATGAGACCAAGATAGAGCTTTTCGGTAAAGCACATCATTCTACTGTTTACCGAAAACGGAATGAGGCCTACAAAGAACAAAACACAGTACCTACGGTAAAATATGGTGGAGGTTCAATGATGTTTTGGGGTTGTTTTGCTGCCTCTGGCACTGGGTGCCTTGACTGTGTGCAAGGCATCATGAAATCTGAGGATTACCAAAGGATTTTGGGTCGCACTGTAGGGCCCAGTGTCAGAAAGCTGGGTTTGCGTCCAAGATCCTGGGTCTTCCAGCAGGACAATGACCCCAAACATACGTCAAAAAGCACTCAGAAATGGATGGCAAAGAAGCGCTGGAGAGTTCTGAAGTGGCCAGCAATGAGCCCAGATCTAAATCCCATTGAACACCTGTGGAGAGATCTTAAAATTGCTGTTGGGAAAAGGTTAGTTTTGTCCTTCCAATAAGAGAGACCTGGAGCTGTTTGCAAAGGAAGAAAGAGTGGTCCAAAATTCCGGGTGAGAGGTGTCAGAAGCTTATTGATGGTTATAGGAAGCGACTGATTTCAGTTATGTTTTCCAAAGGGTGTGCAACCAAATATTAAGTTAAGGGTGCCAATACTTTTGTCCAGCCCATTTTTGGGGTTTTGTGTGACATTATGTCATATTTGCTTTTCTGCCTCTGTTTTATATTTGTTCCAATACATACAAAGGGAATAAACATGTGTATAGCAAAACATGTGTTAATGCAATACCTTTTTTGTGTGAAATACTTGATTTTCATGAAAAATATCAAGGGTGCCAACAATTTCGGCCATGACTGTATATATACGTGATTTTGCTGTGAGGAATACAGCACCGGCACCTGGAGGGAAGAGCCGGCGGAAGGATCTATAGGACGCCATGAATGATAGAGAGAGAGAGAGACCAGCAGGCCCTTTAGTGGTGCCTGCTCTAAAGGGTCTGTTGGCTGAAAAGTGATATCTAGTTGTAGGTGGAGCCAGGTGCAGTGAGTCCACACTGGCTTCTTATTTATCCTACAGACACCAATAGCACGATTGTTAACAAACAAGAGAAAATGTCCAATCGTTTTTTTTTTATTATGGAAAGAAGCATAGACACCACTGGACAGATTCAGGTTTCTAATCTGATGGTTATATATATTTTTTTTAACTACTTAAGAGTTTTTTTTTTAAATTAAAGTGTTACTAAACCCACAACAGTACAATCAGTCTGTAGATGCAGTAAAGCATGCTTGTTATACTCACTGTGGAAACTAAGGGGTTAATCCTCTGCATTGTGTGAAACAGCTTTTTGATTCTGCCTTCTCTGATCCTCCTCTTCTTCTACTGTCCCCAATCCATCTGCTGATAGTACAGAGCTCTAAGAGTCACTCTGCGCTTGTTTAGTTCAGAGAGTGTAGCACCCTCCTAGTTAGCTAGGGGGAGCTGGCTGATTAATTTCTAGATAGAAGGCTGAATAGCAGCCTGGGTGATAGTCATCAGGGTCAAAGCTGAGAGGCTCTGCAGGTAAGTTCCCTGATACCTCCTTCTGCTCTAGAATCATGGAGAAGATTCTAGAAGCAGTGGGTGGGGGTGAGGAGGGGCTGGTATCCACACTTAAAGGACCCTGGCCAATCCCCAAGCAGGAGGTTTTGTATGGGGCTAGGGCAGCCTTTAAGTGTGGCTGAGCCCAGGAGGGAACCCAGTGGGAAGGGGCCTAAATACAGGCTGGGACCTGGAAAGCCTCACCAGGAGGGATGACTACCTATGAAAGCAAGAAAAAAGCCAGCCCAGCAGAAGACCTAAAGGTAGCCACCTACCTGAACAAGCTCACAGGAAAGAGACTGAGTGAATAATTCTACACCCCCTGAGCCAGTTAAAGAGAAAAGAGCATTATGGTGGGAAACCTGACCTTACCTGGGACTGTTTAACTTAAAGTGGCAGGCACTGGATGTCCTTGCCCAGGGATTCCTCCCGACAGCTCGGTAAAGAAGAGGATTTATCTGGGGTCTGAGGTGGAACACCAGAGAGGCTGGAGAGCTCTCCCCGAAGATTTTGGCTTGTATATAGTTGCCAGGAAGTTGTCCTCAGTTTACTGTTCCTTGGGCATCCCATGCATCCCGCAACCCCATCCAGGTTTATTACCCTGATAAATTCCAAAAAAACAAGTTCAAAAACTGTTTACTGTCTCTGGAATTCAAGTCTGTGGAAAATGCGTGTTGCCTGGCAGGACTATAGGAGGACCCAAATCTCTAGCAACTCCTAAGGGGATAGTGCTACAAGTGTATTGCTGGGGAGTTGTTTTTTTTTTTATTTGGGAGGTTGCATGTGATCAGCACAGGGCCAATCAGCACTGTCTGTACAGAGGGTCAGGGGTCATGCATCATCATAGGACATCATAGGAGGAGAATGAGAATTCCTCCTACAAGCTTTAACCAGTGCTCTGCTGGACACTGATAGAAGTCACAAGACTGCTATATACTGCTGATGAGAAAAGGTATTTAGCAGTTTATATTTACTACAATAATTGAATTTCCATGTTGTGTGTACTGTGGGAGACCGGATATAGTGAATGCAGGGTCCAGGGAGACCAGATATAGTGAATGCAGGGTCCAGGGAGAGCGGATATAGTGAATGCAGGGTCCGGGGAGAGCGGATATAGTGAATGCAGGGTCCGGGGAGACCGGATATAGTGAATGCAGGGTCCGGGGAGAGCGGATATAGTGAATGCAGGGTCCAGGGAGACCAGATATAGTGATTGCAGGGTCCAGGGAGACCAGATATAGTGAATGCAGGGTCCTGGGAGACCGGATATAGTGAATGCAGGGTCCAGGGAGACCAGATATAGTGATTGCAGGGTCCAGGGAGACCAGATATAGTGAATGCAGGGTCCAGGGAGACCAGATATAGTGATTGCAGGGTCCAGGGAGACCAGATATAGTGAATGCAGGGTCCAGGGAGACCGGATATAGCGAATGCAGGGTCCGGGGAGACCGGATATAGTGAATGCAGGGTCCGGGGAGAGCGGATATAGCGAATGCAGGGTCCGGGGAGACCAGATATAGTGAATGCAGGGTCCGGGGAGACCAGATATAGTGAATGCAGGGTCCGGGGAGAGCAGATATAGTGAATGCAGGGTCCGGGGAGACAGATATAGTGAATGCAGGGTCTGGGGAGACAGATATAGTGAATGCAGGGTCTGGGGAGACAGATATAGTGAATGCAGGGTCCGGGGAGACAGATATAGTGAATGTCGGGTCCAGGCAGACTAGATATAGTGAATGCAGGGTCCGGGGAGACAGATATAGTGAATGTCGGGTCCAGGCAGACTAGATATAGTGAATGCAGGGACCGGGGAGACCACATATAGTGAATGCAGGGTCCTGGGTTTAGTTACACTTAAATAGAAAAAAAAAAAAAAAAGGAGGTTTGCTTTAACTGACACATCCTTAATCTGTGATCAAGGGATCATTTACACTTGCAGTTGGGGGGTTGGGGTGGTAAAAACACTCTAAGCTTTTACCGACCCCCTCAAACTGCAAAGGCAGCTGTACACATGCTGAAAAAATGATCCCCCCTAGTCAAGTGAATGGTGCTGTGCCACAATCACTCTATAACCACAAGGTGGGTCAACATTTTGAAGGTTTAAACAGGTGGTGAGGAGTCAACAGCCTCTGAAAAGCAATTCACCACAGGGTTGCTTTTCAGAAGAGTGGAAGGCTCTGCTGCTAGTGTAAACCTTATGTGTAAAGCCTACGTGAAATGGAGGAAGTGCCATTTAACAATAATGTTGGTACTGAATGAAGCTGCTGAACAGTGTCTTGAAAAATCAGAAGCTCCAATTTAGACGGCACAGTCTGCAGCCACTGCTGTGGTAAGAAGCAAGGCCCAGCTTTCATTTTACCTGCTAGGAATTGCTGGTAAGAGCTGCAGACAGCAGTGCTGGAAGAGGAGAAGGATGGCCTTTAGGGCCAAGAAGGTCCCCTAGGAAGCCTGGTGGGCAAATCTGGTCTACAAAATAACCATCGACTCCGAATAGGAAATTCCTCGATAATGCCTTCCAAAACATAAACTCAAAGTCAGAAAATGTGACTTGTCATGAAGTGGAAGGTGAACACTGGGCATCGAATAAACGGATTAGGACACTCAGACGTTGTGTTTTGTTAAAGATACATTTTAATGTGTGGATGGTCTTGGGTGACATTACAGCATCTTTGTCACATGTGTAGACAGAATGTTGGAAGTGGGTAGAAATTGAAGTTACAAAGTAGGTTTTGAAAAATTCCTTTAGGCTCTCCAGTTCTATATCTAAAATATCCACGGGGTCGCCAGCAGCTGACACAACTCTTTGCAGTCACACTCGTAATTCGTTTATTACAGAATGAAATCAACATGAGCATTCATAGGCTCAAACCTGCCGAATGTATTCCTTTTTATTTATGGGAATGTTCTTTAAATGTTCAGCCTGAAATATTTAATATTTTGTGGTGGGCGGACTGACAACTCATGGGGCCCCCGGGCAATAAGGGATCATGGGGCCCCTGTGTCCTTACCCCAAACTCAAAAAAGCCTATGAAAAAAGGTACCAGGGGCATCTCATGGGGCCCCTACTGACCCCGGGCCCTCGGGCAGTGCCCGAGTTTCCAAATGGTCAGTCCACCCCTGGATATTACCTATTGCTTGAAAACAATTTTTAAATCTGATAACTTTCCTCTCCCCATGTACTCTCCTCGCTTTGATTTAATTTTCCTGCTTCTCCCCCACTGTCAGTAACATCTACAGGGATCTTTGCCCTAGCAAGCCCATGACTCTCCTCTGAAGGTTGGAAAGGTGCAATGTCCTCTTCTGACTCTTCGCTGGAGTCGCTGGTCTCATGCGGCTGGAAGGGATGCCATTTTCTTTCTTCCACACTGAAATAAAATGGAGGAATATGTGACTTTTTTTTACAAATATAACATAAGAGGACCATTTTTGTTGTGTTGCATTATATTTCAGTGCAGAATCCTCCTCCCATCTTCTCCATAACACAGGAGGGGGTACTGTAGTCCATGTAGAGAAGTAGAAACAGTGTAACTGATAAGAGTGCAGCAAAAGCAAAGAGTATGAGGAGTGATCTGCTGACAAGATTTCTGGCAGGATCAACTGGTAATTTTTTTATTGTGCACTTTTGATGGTATATTTAAAAATAAAAAACAAAACGGTTTCAGCTGTGAGCTTTAACAGGTGGTTAAGGACTTATCTCTTCTATGGGGCCCTCAAAGTGCACCATTTCCTGAACCCCCCCCGATCTCTCTTGTGACTAACGACCCCAGAAGCAAAGTGTATTACATCATTGCAGGGTCACAGCTGCCATTCCTTGGCTAGTGTAGCCAAGGATGCAGCTATTCAAGCATGACCTGTGTTTGAATAGCTGCAATGGAGGGCAGGGGAGACAAAGGGAGTCTAATAGATCTTCAATGTCTCCATAAAGAAGACCTGTAACCAGGGGCGGACTGATCATTTGAAACTTGGGCACTGCCCGAGGGCCCGGGGTCAGTAGAGGGCCCCATGAGATGCCCCTGGTACCTTTTTCATAGGCTTTTTTGAGTTTGGGCAAGGACACAGGGGCCCCAATATCCCCTATTGCCTGGGGGCCCCATGAGTTGTCAGTCCGCCCCTGCCTGTAACCTGTCTGTGCTATCACATCGGGGGCTTGTTAGCCCCCTTGTGATATCAATAAAGTTAAAAAAAATTGATAAAAATAATTTAAAAACATTTTTAAATTCCATCACCTGCATACACACCCCATATCAAAAGATCAACATAGGGCGAGCATTTGTATGTAAACATCAATTGCACCACACATGTGAGGTATCATTTGCGAACATCACAGTGAGAACAATTGTTCTAGGACCATAGTAAACAGCTAGCTTTAAACTGATGACCATGTAGTCTGTGGAGACTTTTGTGTACTGTAGATCTTTGCGATTTCACAGCAAAGTGCAATTTTAAGGCTTCACATATTTGGTATCTACAATATTTACTTAACACAACCCCATCTTTTTATATTCTACCATAAATTGGGTATGTTAATGTGTTTATTTGCACTAAAATCAAGCAGCTGCTGTACTTGCAGTGTTCTATGAGGAAAGTGGCAGGGTCTGCATCCCTTTAGATGGGATTTCCCTTTGAGAGTATCTCACCAAAAAGTTTTTTTTTGCAGGGGATGCCCAAAATCTGACTTGTATCGTAGAGCATCACACAAGACTTTTGGATAAATCAGTGAGCCAATCACACAAGCAGGAAATTACATTTCTGGGGAGCGTTCTGTACACCATCTGTGTACAGAATGTCTCCAGTTAGCCATGGCATTTTACAAAAAAATTGCAGCGCTGCAGATTGTAAAGAAAAGATAGTTTTTTAATAACATTCAAGACTACCACTCACAATATGACTTTTATAGCTATTTTACATGCTTTTTTTTGTGATACTTTTCTATTTTTTTCCCACAAAAGTGGAATTGCCATTTAACCTAGTTCTTAAAGCTGGCCATAGATGGTTAGAAAATCAAATTAGTTAGGAAATCGTTTGAAAATAGAAGCAGATTACAGAAGTTTCACCCATCACTGTACCGAAAAAAGTCCACCTATATTTTAGATTATTTTCAGCATTAAAGCATCATTTCTTGTTTGATCCAGTTTTAAACGTTTGACAGCCTTATGTGTGTCACGCTTTGAACTTTTTTCAATCAATTTTACTTACACTTAGAAAATTGTTTGTTTTGAAAAAAATTATCTTATTTTTTATAACGAAATTGGATATTGATAGTAAAAAACTGAGCGCACTAACCATTAGAAAAATCTAACGATTGTTCGGTTCTCTGATTTTGTGCTCTATGGTCTTCCATTTATGGCTGGCTTAACACTTATCCATGCTGACATTGTAGATAGTTCATGCTCTCTGTGTTGAGATTAACTGAATAGACAGACAAATGAGATAGATATTGAAAGATATTTTTTACTTACCACGTTAATAGATAGATAGATAGATAGATAGAAAGATAGATAGATAGATAGATAGATAGATAGATAGATAGATAGATAGATAGATAGATATAGAGATAGATAGATAGATAGATAGATAGAAAGATAGATAGATAGATAAACTAGAGATAGATAGATAGATAGATAGATAGATAGATAGATAGATAGAAAGATAGAAAGATAGATAGATAGATAGATAGATAGATGTCCCCTTTTATTTTACTGGAATCATATATGTACTATAACCAAGGTTCATATGGGCAGGGCTTTTTTTCCTCAAAAAATAGGTGCAGGAACTCCCCCCTTCTGAGTCACTTTATGTTTTTGCCCCCTACTCAGCTCCCAGTATGGCTCCTTTTAGAGACTACAGACCCATGTATTATTTTGTGGTGCTTAATATTTTGTAAGGAATTTGTTATTGATAACCAGAAAAACAGATCCCCTGCCACCAGCAACAATTGGCCCCCCAAGCAACAATAGATTCTTCCAGCAAAAATGGACCCCAAAACAGAACACCACCCCATCAACAATAGACCCCCAAAAGCTACACCAGATCTCCCGTCAGCCAACATCAGCAGACTCTACAGCGGCCAGCAACAATAGACCCCTCCCTCAGCAGTAGATCCCTTCCAGCAATAATTGACCCATCCCAACAATAGATCCCCCACCAGCAACAATAGACCGCCCCAGGAGCAATAGGCCACCACACAAAAAGAGATCCCCTTCAGTGACAATAGATCCCCAGCAGCCAGCAAAACAGATCCTACAGCACCCCTTGCCGTTATATACGTTCAGTGCTGGAGGTGCCGAAACTGCATTCATCCACGTTCCTACTGAAAAAAAGCCCTGCATATGGGTGTTTCCATCAGGGGCGTATTTACCACAGGGCAAACAAGGCATTTGCCTAGGGCGGCATTTTTCAGGGGGGCAGCGCCGCCCCCCTGAAAGAAGGAATGGAATAAGGGACACATGCAGCATGGGGACCTGGTGGGATCTGAGAGAGGCTGCGGGCTGCTTGATGGTGTATGCAGAGCCTGACTCTTATTTCCGGGGATGTCCGGAGCTGTGAAGGTGAGTGTCTTATCTCTCGCCGGGGTGGGTGGAGATTGCCACTGTATAGGGGCACTGGTAGTGGAAGGCTCTCTCGAGTGGGTGTGTGTGTGTGTGGGGGGGGGGGATTTTTGTGTTGCCTAGGGCAGCATGAAACCTAAATACACCATTGGTTTCCATTTAGGGGTTTCAGTTGAATTAAATAC